CTATATCGTTTCTTTAGCTTATTATCTGATCGCGCAAAGGAGCGAACTATAAAGAGACTGTTCTGTATGGCGGGATCCCGGCGTCTACGTCCGGTGTCTTGAAGTGTTTCTTTGATGGGCTTGGAATTGTTCCTTGCCATACATGATCTTGTAGAGTTGGCTGGACCTCATTTTATCAACCCATGTACAGCTGCAAACGGCATATCGAAAGAGATGAGAGACGGATTGCACGTTGCAGTGGTCGTCATTTTCCGTCTCAGGCGTATTCTGCGATGCGGTGCATGAAATCGGGGAAGAGGTCGTGGAACCTAGATGGGACTTATGCCAACGCGTCTTCGGAGATCGCGCGCCTATACATTGACAAATTAGAAGAAGAAACGATATTATTTAAATGAAAGCACCAAAAAAGCACCTACACTATTCTCAGGTTCCATGCCCTCACCTTGACAATAATGCCACAAAGTGTTTGCACGCGACGGTGATGGAGAATAGTGCAGGGCGGAAACCAGAACTGAATCGGTGAAAGGTGTTGATAGCGGTTCTGACAAGCCTGTTCTTGTTCTCATTGAGTACACTGCAGTGTATACTCAAGCAAGCCGTGACTCAAACACGACACAGATATTTTACAATCCCAATCCTGAACGTGTCGCATTAGTCCTGTTTCTTCACTTGTAAGCGAACCTTAGCAGCATTAGTAAATTTCATTGCGTTTTAGTGTTCATGCTCTAGAGAAGCCCTATGTCTAGAAATACAAGGTCTACAGGTAGCTAGTGATATAACTCTATCGTGCAACGGCGTTCTATCTGGTATAGTCTAAGTCGTAATGAGCTCTTTAGGAGCTTTGGTTCGTTTCCAACAAAAATAGCGGCGAAAGCTGATGAAAATAGTCGAAAGTGTCGAGTCCTTTTTATGGGCTGGCCGCATACACGGATCGTCTCCTCAAAACATGTCCCCACTTCCACAATGACTATGACAAAAGGGTCAGCTTGTGAAGCGATAGAAGCGTAGATAGAGGACATACCCAAAACGCAGGCATCAACAGGAAAGAGACACCCGCGAGTAGGGCAGATGCCGGGCCCAAACCGAGATTGACGAAAAATGCACGTCCGAATAGTGGAAACACGCTAGCAATAGCGGAACGGAAGAGATCGTTGCCAGCAAGTACTGATGCGGCGTAGGTAGGATACGCAGACGTTACATACGTCAGAATGCTCTGGAAGGTGAGGTAGATGCCGGGAAGGTAGAGTGCAGCGCCGATAATAGGAACGATCCAGGGAATGCTTTCCTTCGAAGTGAATCCGAAAATGAGAACACTAGTCGGGATGAAGATACTAGCCATCAGCCCAATCTCCAGGCGAATCTCAGGGCCAATGTCGATACCCGCAGCTGCGGCTTTGGCAAATCTAGGCGCGATATGGTATTTCAGATAGAAAACATATATGGTATACTAGAGAACGACTGTCAGTGCCAGTACTAGGCAAAGAATAGCAGCACTTACTGTGATGCCACCAGATACAACAAATCCAAGGAAAGGCAGACCGCTCAGACCCAGATTGAAATGGTAGATGTCGGTAAATACAAGCGGGAATGCTTCGAACCACAGGTAAAAGATTGCATCTGATTCAACAGAGTCAATTAGGAATCCTACCCGAACAGATAGGCGGGTGTACTTACAGACGAATCCCAAGTAGACATTTGCGAACATCAAGACCGGCTCCTTGGCAAGAATGAAGGGTCGGATCAATGCCTCCTGCATCACCTCTCCGAGAGACTCGCCTTCTTTATCCTTCTCACTTTGGGACCTCAGCTCCTGGTTTCCTGTGAGTTTTCTGAGCCGCTGCGCGCGTTTCAACAAGATTGTTGGCTCATAGGTCTCGGGAAGAAGTAGCAGAAGGAAGATGAGAGCGAAACCGGCTATCCAGATGAGCTCGTACTGAGGCCACCTCCATCCGTTGGCCTGCGCTGCGAAACCTCCAATAATGGGACCAGTGATAGGACCAGCAACAGCTCCGAGTGCCCAGATCCCCAGAACATATGGGAATTGGTGCATAGAGTAGATGTCCGCCATGGAGGCACCTCCCGTAGCGAGAGCAGGGCTCCCGACAAATCCAGTGAGGAAGCGGAACGCCAGAACCGTACTCATGTTTCTGGTGACAGTGACAGGTACCTGGAAGATGACGAATAGGAACAAGGTGGCCATGTACACCGGGTTACGACCTATCCCCGGAAGTTCTTGAAGGGGCGCCAAAATCATAGGCCCGATACCGTACGCTGTTTGAGAACGTCAGGACGGCGCGGACTGCAGCTAGACGCGGAACAACTTACCGAGAACGTACAGCGTGAGACCGAGAGTAGCAGTTGTCTGAGAGACATTGAATTCAGCCATCAACCCAGGTATAGACGGTGTATAGATGGCTGAGCCGATGTAAACGCTGAAGGTCAAGAAGCTGATGCTGAATGCGACGAATGCGCGCTTCGCGGGAGACCAGTTTCTGGAAATAGAATTGAGATAATGCTTTCGATCAAGTCGGCAAAAAAGCAAACCTTGGATTGTCCTGATCATTGTCCCCGTACCATCCTACTATGTATGGATCAGAGCTAAGAGCAGCATCTATCTGTTTTTGCTTCTCCGCGTCGATATCCACAGCCAACGTAGACTCCCTCGTAAGTCGTACTCCCGGTGTTGATGTACCTGATGTACCTTTAGACTTATCTAGGTCACCGCATAGCGTTGTCGCGTCAGAATCTGGAGACACAATTGCCGACGGTCTTAGAGATGATGGAAGAAGGAAATGTGGAGGAACCTCAAAGTCGGGACGTTGGTCTGCATAGGGAAAGATACGACCATTCGAGATATAGTTGATGGCCTGGCCAATGGTAGAATCCCGGAAGATATCTTGGACCATAGCGATACAGGTGTAGTGTGGAAAAGGGGAATTGATGCAGTCTCTTCATGTTCGCCGCTTTTATACCTGTCAGAAATTTTCGCCCTGAAAATGATTCAACCGCTGAAAGTGGATTATTCATCGAACTGGTTAGTGAGCAAAGTTCGGCTTTGACATTCGTCATCATGTTCGGCGTTTTCCATGTGGGTCAGAGCAAATCTCCCATCGAACTCGAGTCTGTCGCCAAGGAGGTAGCACAATAAGCGAGACGGGATTTATGAGTCACTGTCTTCATTAATAAGACATAACGCCAGAAAGCACGAGAATGTGAACTAGCATGGTCTGCAACTGAGCGCTGCCAGACGGAAGTCCTTAATTTCAAAGACAGGATTACCCTGAACACAGAGCATGGTAGCATTGACACGACACTAAGAGGTACCTACCCCCCAGCGGAGGAAGTTGATGGTAAGAAAGGAAGGACGAGTGGACCCAGCACGTGCTTTCAGGGATGTGGCGTCTACCACATGTGTGCCGACTGCCGACTACTGAATATTGTAACGACGTCGTCCACGACCACACCTGTGGTCATGTCTTGGGCAACCCAAGGGCAGCTATTTCCTACTATACTTAATGTCGATCCTATACCTGACCAGTTCCAGATTGACGCAAGGCACTTCCACCCCGTTCTTGAGGTCTTGAAATACGGCAACCATGCGATCTTTGTGCTCCCGATATCAAGACTCTTCTGGGATCCCCTATTTGATACGGTAGGAGAAGCGAATGAATGTTTGAGACGAGCATTTGAAGGGTGTAGTATTTTTCAGATCTTTTTTTGTATGCCAGGGCATTCAGTTCATGCACCAACATTTCGTTGCTCACCGGTAAGTCCAATGGTTCTCAGAGAAACTAATTGTCTGAATCTTTACCCACTCGGAGTGATTGTACACTCACCAACATCATCATCATGGATCTTACAAAAGTGTATCTAAAAGGTTTCCCTCTCATGAAGGCTAACTGCATGGTGTCGTTTACACGGGTTGCACACGCACCGCGTGCTGGCCCAATACTATCTCATCCACTTTGGATATGCCCATCGGTAAGTTCCAGTAGATGGTATTTCCATTAGTGAGTGGATCCATCGGGGTGCGGACAAAACGGCAACGGAACATTACAACCTTGAGGCGCCGATGGAACGTAATCCGTTCCCTACTGATATATACCACCTTGGAAATATGATTAGAGAGCATCCCCTTCATGTACGTGCTAGATGCGACCGCACTATTTCTGATATTGAACGTTGCTTTGGACCAGAATACTGCAATCGCACCAGAATAGGTCCAAACTTTTTACGACCACTTGTAAAAGATATGGTCAAGGAAAATCCTTCTGACCGACCCATCATAGATAAGGTGGTAATACCTTTCGACGCGCTAAGAAAATCGCTTTCCCGATGATGCCTCCAGGCCGTGACTCAACTGGGAGACCAGCGTTGCCCTTCATCCATCTTGCCTAGCACTTAAATTCGCTCTTATGTTTAGATCTCCCCTTCCCAAGATCGTTACCCCTCCTACTCGAGTCTTACCTGCTCTGCGGGACTTCTATACGGCGAGTCGCGCGGGACTATATAGTGGTGAGCACGGGCGTATCGTTGTAAGCATCGGGATTACAGTGGGCACATTTGGTGGCGCAAGCCTCGTCGGCTATGTACGCTCCTTGGCGCTCCCGGCCCATAAATCTTGATATCCATTTGGGTAGTCTGGTTTTCCTTGTTGAAATTCAGAAGCCCAATAAGTATTACTTGAATACTTCGTTTTGCAGAGGCATCGAACCATAAGACGTCAACAGCTATGAAAAGAAGGTGACTTGTGGAGCTGAAAGACCGAAACAGGCAAGAAATTCGCCTGCTGTGATCTACCGTGGTGTCCTGGCAAGGGTTGCGTGACAAGCGGGAGACAAGGGCGTAGCAGAACATATCATGTCGTCATGAATGCTGGGTCAGATTGATCAAGACGCATTCTATTCATATCAAGACTCAAAAGAGTAAAGTCGTGATCATGCTTTCACGATTAATGATCGTTGCAGTCAATACGGAAAATTTAAAAGTTGTAGAAAAAGTGTCGGTAGCAGGAATCGAACCTGCGGCTCTTCGGACGTGCTGACCACAACGAAGTGATTTAACCCCTAATCGATACCGACCTGAATGTTTGGCACATATGTACCTCTATGATGTATATCCAGCATTAAATTGTCTATCAATTTTTTTTTCAGAGTTCAAATTTCTACACTATTCACACAATCCCCCTCTTCAAGCGCATCTTCCACAAGAAAACAAGACTAATGATACAGAACACAGATGTAACAAGTAACAACGAGAAGATGAGTCCATGAAGATCGATAAATAATGCAAATATGGACCCAAAGCGGTGAATGGTATGCAATAATACACTGAGGACGAAAACAAAGCTTGAATGAAAAACCCCTGCCCCCGGTGTCTAACTCCATACAAGTGTCCGACCCTCAACACAATAGAAAGGAACAAGAAGAGCCTGGAATAAGTATTCCAATGATGTTTGATATTTCAGTGGGCACGGGAAAAGAAAAACTCTAAGCAAACGATAGCGAAACAGAGCGATAGACGTATATGTACACGTGTGATTTATTTACACGGCGTGCGGAGCGTGGGAGGATCCAAAGATGGAACGAGAGAGTGGCCTAGAGATCTATGATTTTTTTCGGGTCCTGGCGCGTTCGAGATTGAACAGTGGCCTTTTGTGCGCGTGAAGTGGAGGAGGACGGTATGCGGTTGACGATGACGATGAGGTGAAGGGTAAACAGAGAGGATTGGGAGGTATGAAAGAGCGTGGAGAGATCATGGTATAGGTACAGAATGAGGGGAAGGAACCACGGACAAGATAGAGCGGAAGCGAAAGGAAGAAGGGAGGGGCGCGCGACTGGAAAATCTACATGGTAAGGATAGCACACATCAGTCCGATAGATGAATGTCCAAAAAAAAAAAGGCAAATGAGGGAATGAAGGGAAGGGAAGGAATAAATTCGGAGAATATTCCTTCCGCGAAAATGCCGCTACAGGACACGCGTCACGCTATATCCCGTCACGACCCAGGTTTCCGATATTCTGCATTCCTCCTCCGCCGACCAGCCCGCTCCCGCTTCTGGGCCGGCCAATCAAATCCTGGGGCACTCCCCAGGAATTTGGTCCAGGCCCCTGATAATACCCTCCTCCGCCTTGAGAGTAGTTGTGTTGATGACCCAGGGGAGCCGAGTCACTTCGCGCCCTCGTCGAGAACTTTTTCGAATTACGGACATTCACCACCTCTTCAGAGAGGGTATGTGGAGGGGCGGAGAGAATACCTCCGGGTGAATGGGTACCGGCACTGCCCATACCACCGCTTGAAATACCCCCGCCCATCCCCACGCCCAATAGACTTGAAGATGTATCAATCCGTGGACGTTTGCGATCACCACCGCCCGGATGCGAGTTATACTGCAACATTGGCGGCGGAGCGGGTGACGTGATGTAGATTCCAGGGTTGGGTGAGGGAAGAGAGGTGTGTGGATGAGGTGAAATGGAAGACATATGGTTATGGTTATGATTGTGGTTGGAGAAGTGTTGGGGTGGGTTTGGCGAGGACGGGGATGGCGAGTCGGATAACTCCGCTGGGAATTGAGGAACTGTAAATTTGTTTCAGCAAGCGGAACAAGGGCATTGGGGATAACGCAGAAGAATATGAACACCGATAACAGCGGTCAAGAAATATAGGAAGATAATAAAGGGACGATATAATACATGAAGAGCAGCAGAGCGGGCATCAATATGCTAGACACGAGAGGTACTTCGTACAGGCGCGGCAAGACAAAAGGATCATGCCAACTGAGAGGCGTACGGCGAATAGAAAAGAGACGTGTGAACCAGATGAACCAAGGTGGAAATCGAAAGGTACAGCCAAGGCACGGATTTGAAAGCAAACAAGGCAAACAAGGCAAAGCGGCAACAGCAGGCGCTCGCGGAAAGGACACCAAAACCATGAGGAAAGTAGCTGCAAACCAGGTAATATGAATGGCACGTGTCATAAGAATATGAAAAACTGGTGAGCAGGAATGCGTAACGAGACACGTAAACTGAAAGAGAAGGCCAGACAAGATCCCAGCAATTGGGAATAGAGAAAGCAAAGATAGGAAGAACGGATGTACTGAAGAAGAATCACAATTGATACGGAGGCCTGGGAATGGTAAAGGTAGCAAAAGCATCCGCATATATGCGTAACATAAGTGAGCGCCGAAGGGAAACAAACGCAGTGAGGCCCAGAAAACATATGGTAAACATATGGAAGTAAATGGCAACAGAGGAGAAGTCAAAGCATTCGGGACGGCGTTGCTTTGGCGTAGGGGGATAAAGCGCGCAGAAAACGAGGCGAAAAGTGGGTGGCGAGAAAGGACGGAGCAAGGCAGGACGCGAGAATACACAACGGAGACGTGTAAAATGGAACTGGCGGATACGTTGGAGAAGTAGAAGAGAGGGAAAGCAAAAACGAAAGAAAGTCAAAATGAAGGAGAGGTACTCACGATTACCTGGGAAACCTTTGCCGACGAAGTCCCATAATCTTGCGACAACGTTGGTAAGGCGTTCAACCTTACGACGCTCGTGAACGAGGGCATCCCACATACGGCGATTATCGTCGCGCATGCCTGCGAGTTGAGCGGCGACCTGAAGAAAAGGAATGAGTGATAATCCGAGGAGGAGAATAAATGCCATGGAAAATCCCGGCACGAAGGCGAAAAGAACACGGCAATGGAAGAATACTCACCTCTCCCGGCAGCTCGACTCTGTGCTTCGCGCCCAAATCGGGCTCTAGTGCTTTGCGCTTGATTTCATCGAGCAAGTCGGGACGTCCCCGTAGAAACTTGTGATGCGAGAATTCCCAAGTCTGAGAGTCGGTAGACGTACGTTGTGCACGAGGTGTACGATTGATTTTGTGGAAGCCGTACATATTGAGCTGTCGCACGAACGACGAGAACTACAATGGCAGTGTCAGATGCTGTTGCTACCATCAGATATTTTAGTGGCACACGTTATTATGCTTGAAGTGGCTGCCTAGGATGCTCCGACTGAACTCTCCCACATTTGACACGACAAACGATGTCCCGAGCTCTGTCCACGCAATAAAATGCGCGGATTTGGGGTCTGAAATCATTCTACCATACTTAATATTGAGAATTACATTGGGGGAGGAAAAAGGAGTACGTACTGATACAACTTTGTGACAAAGTTGTTGGTCGGCATTGGCTTGCCCAGGATACCAATGGTCGCTGATCCTGGCGGTCCTTCTGTTGGTGACGATTCCATATCCTGATCCTGGTCGTCGTCTGTTGGAGGCGGTGTTGTGCTGCTAGTAAAAGAGCGTTTTCTTTCAGTTCGTTGGAGAGACGGTGCTGGGGACGCTGGCGATGAGCCGACAGAAAGCGACGAGAGATTCAGCGACAGGCTCTCGCGGCCGTTCTGCTGTTGCTGTGTGGAGGTAGGGGTATTGCTGCTGGAGCTGGACGTCGGAAACGGTGGGTAGGCCTGGTTAGGCTGGTCAATGGACGAGGCGGGCGGGGAAGGGAAAAATGAATAATCCATCGACGACGGTGGATGGAGAGAAGGAGGGTTGTTTGTGGGTGTGTGATGGGATAATACGAGCCGGGGGTCCGGAGCTTTTTGCCGGCGGGATTTATTTTCTTATCCTTGCATCATTGCTTGATGTCGCCCATGCGGTCCGCCTTTGAGCACGCAATACGTTATTTGGGTGTCTTCTCCGTCTCAACAAGGAATTCAAGGATTATTATTATTTTCTTATCTTGGTCACCGTTCGCTGTTTGGCTCAGGGGATCTAGCATGACAGGCACTGGCTACACGTGCCTTGCTTCCGTCGGCTTTTGCCTCCGGTCCCTCGTGGCTTCTCTCAGGGCGCTTACCTACCCGCGCGCCGTTACGACCGTATACGTATATACACGTCGACAAAATTTGCTGGGAGCCACCCTTTTTTATCAATTTTCGGTGTAGTCTGTATAGCCAAATCAAAGCGAGCTCTGGCCGCGTCTAAACCACCTTTGAGCATTCCTCCGTTCCGCAGTTGACCTCCCATGCGACACGCTCGCGCTTTACCTCTCACCCTTACTTCTCGCTCTCTCTTTTACCTCCGATCCCCCAGCATTCTTATGCACCACTCTCACGCGCTTTCAATTCTTACCCTTTCGCCCATCATTTTTTCGCGTCCCATTCCCACCGTTACGAGTCCAGATCCATCACGCTCATATACAGATTCCAACTATTTGCAAAACTCGCGTACCGGCTAACTGAGTCACAAAGACAGATCCGTCATTTGACTGATTCTTCGGACTCGAATGGTACCGCGACGCCACTATAAAATATTGCACCAATATCGATTACACCATTTCAACAGGCGGTGAACTCGAATGTGTACAATAATAAAACAAGGAACTTGTCTACCGTAACTCTTACGGCAATTCCAAGTGCTTCATTATAGTACGGTTCAGGTGAGCCCTGACAGCACCCGCTACGCTATCCTCAAGGACACTCTACCCGCGAACATACAGGACGGCACCGAAGCCTACTAATAGCCTACTGCCGCTCAGTCGTACGTAGACAGACGCGCTTTTGTCGGGGCCTTACAATCTCCCAAATGGTCCGACACGCCGACACATTTGTAACGTTCCTCCGTAAAATAGACGTCATCAAATCACTCCGCGTTGGCGTAGTTTCTCCAGTGAAAACGAATTCAAAAACTCGGTACAAAACAGTAACCTAGTACATGGCATTCGATTGCCCCAGAATTTTATTTTCAAGTAGACACTCCAATGCCGGACCTTCTCCGAGCCACCGCCTCTCACCCGACAAAGGCCAGTCAATCACATTTTCTCCTCCGGTTCGCGAAGCATTAAGCAATAGGCAAAGATTTGACTGACCACGAGTCCATCCTGACATAATGTTGTAATAAAGTTGAAGACCGGATGGATGACCACAGACCTAAAAACGTACTCCTCAGTGAGACAGATGATACCACCGAAAGTTTTGACATAAACACCTATTCTCAATTATCTGTTCACCTACCGCTTTACGAGAAACACCCGAACCATTTGAATTGCATTCCAGAAAACTTGCAGGTTGATCGAGGA